GCCTGTCATAGAGTAAACAGTAATTGTAGAGGAATGGCCTTTTGGACTTGGCGATTTCTGGACTGTATCACTGGGATAGTTTGGATGGTTAATACTGAGTTCTATTTTTAGGCTTTTGGAGTGAAAGCAGGAGCTCATGTGCTTGGCACAAGTTAGGAATTTTCCACTCATTCCCCATGTAGGGAAGCACTGATCTCACACTGGGCCGTCGGAGGAGGCCTTGCTCATATTTCAGTCATCCCACCATGTCATCACGCTGCACTGGCTTAGGTTGGGGAGCGAAGGGGAGCAGTGGCATGAGATCCTTTCAAAGGGAGTCTTTGGGGCGGCCTTCCTCCTGGGTATTCAACAGAACCTATGGGCCTTGCAAGATCACTGCAGGACTCTGTTGAGCTGTGATGGATGGAAGGGTAACTTAGAGTCAGGTGGAGAGAATGGAAGGTTTCTTGAGGTTCCCTTCTTGCCTTAAGGAAGGGAGTTCTACAGTCCTCACTGTTGACTCACTCCATCGCAGGGCAGCACTACGTCATTCTGCAGGAAACAAAAAGTAACTTCACTGATGCAGAAAATTCATAAATTAGAAGAGTTGGTATCATTTCAAAAACAAGCACTTAAGAAAGAAAGATTGTCGCCAATCCGCACAGCCTGGCCTGAGCGAGCGGCGCTGGGCTGAGCCTGCATCTTCAGGAGGAATGTATTAGCAGGCCACCAGCAGGGGTCAGGGACAGCTGATGGGAAAAGCTGAACAGCTACCCTATCAGAAGTTACAGCCCCCGGTAGGCTATACGAGATAGGTCCTTGCACGCGACCAACCAATCAATACCATGGAGACGTGTTGCTAATTCCAGTGGTAGGATGGGGTGTGAATACAACCAAGGAATTTTTTTTTTTTTTAAAGTAGTCAGGAGCTGACACTGACTCTCTCAAACTTAGGTATGAAAACTCTGTGCTCATATCCCATCTGAGGATCCATGCAACTTGGATCTTGATGCTGTATCTCTAGAAGCATGGGTAGGAGGGGCCCTCTCCGTGTGTTCGTGCTTGGCGAAGGGTGTGGACTCCGGCTTCGCCGTTTCCTAGCCAGTCGTGCAGGGGCTGGTTGCTGAGCCGTGGAGCCCCAGTTGCATCCTCCACACAGGGAATTAGAACCCAGGACCCACTTGACAGCATTTGGAGGACTAAGTGAAGTGAAGGGCTTACCCAGCGCTGTGCCTGGCATAGGTAAAGTGTTTGGAAAGGGTCACACTAATACTAGTGTAGTAATTAGCCAGACCTTCCCAGAGTTTAGTTGTTCTCCTTGACATTTACGTCTTCAGGTTTGTTGCTAATCTTTCGCAGCTGATCGATCCTTCCTTAGTATGCTACTTGATGACTATAGTTTGAAACTGGTTGGTATTATAGGCTATGCTTGCAAAAGGGTGGTGAGGCAGGTGGGGTTGGGTTATCTTCCTTCAGTCTTCCCAAAATGGAGAGGGTGCAGGATCTATAGTCTCACTGTCCTCTGCCTATTTCTTGCTTCTTATATTCCCTCAGTGTGTTTTTCCTAAAGCAAAGATGGGTGGAGCAGGCCTGGCTGTCAGTACCAGCATTAGCTTTTCACCAGAGTGATTCAAGTCTGAAGGTCACCCGCAATCCCTACCATCATCAGCACTGTCTCCAGCTGAGGCCTGTCCTCCTTACTGGACCTCTAAGCCACTCCTTCCCCAAATGTCTTATTCTCCTGTGGCTGGAAAGTGTAGAGTGATCTCTTATAATTTGGGAGCTCGCTGGGCAGGACACTGTTAACATCCACCCAGGGCTTCCTTCCCTGGGGGGAATGTGGGGTGGGGGGGGCGGTGCTACTGTTGGGAGCTGAGGGCAGTGTTGGCTCGCATTAGAGCATTAGAAATTAGAGTTGGTTTGTTGTATTTTAAGTTCTGGTTGTTCACTGCCTAACCTCATCTAAGTCTTTGTATCTTTCGGCACTCTCACTGTGAATACTTCAATAATGCTATTTTGGGACTGATAAGTACAGTACAGTTAACCCTTGAAGGACGCAGGGATTAGGGGCACCGACCCCCTGCACAGCCAAAAATCTGTGTGTAACTTTTGACCCCCCAAAAACTTAACGAGTAATAACCCTGTCGACCGGAAGCTTTACCTATAACAGTTGATTAACACATATTTTATATGTTATATGTATTAGATACGATATTCTAACAATAAACTAGGGAAAAGAAAATACTATTTAAAAAATCACAAGGAAGGGGTGCCTGGGTGGCTCAGTTGGTTGAGTGTCTGACTCTTGATTTCCGCTCAGGTCGTGATCTCAGGGTCCTGAGGGCTCTGCACTCAGCAGGGAGTCTGCTTGAGGATTCTCTCCCCCTCCCTGTGCCCGTCCGCCCCCCCTCACACAAGTACATGCATGCTCTCTCTCTCTCTCTCTCAAATAAATAAATAAATCTTTTTTTTAAAAGGTCAAAAATAAATAAATGAAAATAAATTAAAAATCACAAGGAAGAGAAAATATATGTACAGTACTGTACTGTATTTATCAGAAAAAATTCAAGTGGAAAAGGGGACCCACATAGTTCAAACCCATGTTGTTCAAGGGTCAGCTTTATTTCTGTTCTCTGGCTGTGCTTAGGAACTGAGGATTAAAAATTATTCTTTTTTTAAAGATTTTATTTTTTTAAGTAATCTCTATACCCACCATGGGGCCTGAACTCACAACCCCAAGGTCAAGAGTTGCATCCTTTACCGGCTGAGCCATCTAGACATCCCCAAAAATTATTCTTGATGCTAGAAACAAGTTAATTTTTTCACTAGTTCAAGATTATTTCAGGTACAGAGAAGATTAGCACGGCCCCTGAGCAAGGATGACATGCAAATCAGTACGCATTCCATATTCGGAAAAAAAAAAATATATATATATATATATATATAATTTCAGGGTAAATACTGAAATGTACCCTCTCTGGAATACCAGATTTTCTTAATTTGTAGGAACAAGTTGAAAGTCAGCCGGCCACATTATGCTGTGTTAGAGCAAACATAGAAAATCCCTGTGGTCTGTCTGATTGAACTCTTTCCCTGTTAACCAGACTTCAAACTTAGAATAGAATCAGGGCAGAGCCAAGAAGGTTTTTGTTTTGTTTCGTTTTGTTTTTATTTGAGAGCGAGAGCATGAGTTGGGGGAGGAGCAAAAGGGAGAGGGACAAGCAGACTCTGCCCTGAGCGTAGAGCCCCACGCAGGGCTTGATCCCAGGACCCTGAGATCATGACCTGAGCCGAAATCAAGAGTCAGATGCTTAACCGACTGAGCCACCTAGGCACCCCAAGAAGGTATTTTAAAAAGCAAAACAAAACAAAAAAACAGAGCATAAGAATACACCAATTCTAAACACATTTAGATCCTTAATATGGAGAAGCCCCTAGTATCTGTAGGATGTTATCCAGTTGCAAATGAAATGAAAGGAAAGCAACAGAGTTACAATAACAACTAACATTTATATTAGAGCTTGCTAAGTGTCAGGCAACCTTCTAACTACTTTGCATATATTAATTTCTTCAACCCTCGTCATAACCCTGTGCCGTGGGCATGACACAGAGGCAGCATCGCTTAGTGATTAGGAAAATATCTACTCTCAGGTGTGATTGCTAACCTTCAAGTTCAGGAAAGGCAAAGATACTGTGGGCTGGGATGGAAGGAGTGAGGCTTCGTGAATAAAATGGGGATCCTCAAAGGGTATATTATTGGTACGTTATTCTTTGAAAAAACCAGGGGCTAAGAAGCTTTGATACCTGTGACTAAAATAGCTCTCATTTTATTATGCAAATAGAGTTTTACTTAGGTATTATGAAATTATGACATTGCATAGCAAACACCCTTGGGATGACCTGGGACCGTCCATCCCCTCGACCCAAAGTAGCACACGTGTTACCCAGATGTACACATAGCAACCAGAGACACCAGATTGTACCAGCTGCTGCTTTACATTGGATACGGGTTCTTTGGAGGTGCTGCAATCGGAGTAAAGGAGGTTAAGAAAGAAAGAACATTCACAAGACTCTGATGATATTCAGGCTAGATATCTGGTACACCTTTTAGCTTCAGCTCCCTTTGGAGAAATGTTTGCTCTGGGAGTACATTCTATAGAAGGAAGAGACTTTCTGTGAAGGCCTACATTTTTAGTATCTCTAACGTGAAGAGGATTTATATAGCGCACCTTCCCTCGTTATTATTAGTAACAGTGAAAGCATAACTCGTGTCACTATTTCTGGTGACTCTGTAACCCAGATTACAAATTCAGCATATTTTCGGGTACTCCTGTTTTATGTCAGGGAAGACATATGATCTGAAAACAACTTAGCAGTCATTTAATTACAAATGGCGTTTCTTTGCACTGAAGAACATTTCAAATGGGACTTTTCCTCTCGTTCCTTCTAGTGATGCAGACAGTGCCACAAAAAACTTGGAAATTTTAAATTTTGGTGTTGGTCTCCTTACAAAGAAAAATGTTTCATGTTAAGTTTTCTGTTCAGTATTTATTAGGTAGCCAACCATGGATGTATGGACAAAAGTGTTAAGTGTAAGGGGACAGTTGGAAAAATAAGTACTTGCCCCTCGGAGAAATATGGCATGGATGTCTTCATGGTCAAAAATCTCCTACTAGTGATAATGATTAACAGTGTATAATAATACCTACCAGGGGATTACTGGGCAGGGCATAGGCATGCAAGGAAGTATTGTAGGACGATGTATACCAGAGAACAATACAGAGAAAAGCACAACAAGGGGTATTATTATTACATTGCAAGCTTTGCGATTTGAATGTGATATAAATGAATGAGTCAGACTCTGCTTTGTGATTTTTTTCTATGCTTATATAATGAGAAAATTATCTCCTTAAGGGCTAGACTTATAAATATTTGCTTAATATGATTCATTAATTAAACATGTGAAAGTGCTTATCTAGCATAAAACTAGGGGACTCTCGGTATCCATTTTGTTTTTGCAGAATGAAAGTGCCCTTGTGAAAGAAAAAGAGCTGTCAATCGAACTTGCAAACATCAGGGATGAAGTTGGTAAGTAGGGCATTGACAATGAGGAACATAAAGACTGTCTTTTCCTGATACCTATGAATGTGTGTAACAACAGCAATTATGCCTCGTGTCATCAGCCAAGGCAAGGCTGCCTGGAAAAATGAAGTGTCTTCCCCAGCACAGTGGTGGGTGACTGAAGCCTTGTAGGGAGCCGTAATTTTTACATCTCTGTTGTTAGAAAGCTTCATAACATCACGGTGGAACTCATCTGGCCTCGATTCTGTTCTTCGCAGATGGCAGCACACACATCCGTCTGCGTGGCGTGCTGTGACCAGCACCCCTCCGCCTAGGTCCCCCTGGGGCAGGCAGAGCTCCAAAGGAAGCAGGGTGCTGCAGGGTGCTCTCTGCAATCTATCTCTGCACATATTCCAAGGCTTCCTGCTGCCGTGTACCTTGCCATGAAACACTCTATGATATAGAATGAGATCAGAAGCATAAGCCTGGATGGGTTAAGCATGCTAGGGTTATGTCGAAACTCCTAGTCCTTGGCTGGTTCATGGTATAGCTCACTCTGAACCATAAGAGACCTTGCAGAAGATACGATGATCCCCAGACCGGGGGTGTCCGAGAGATGGATGGGCTTTCACCTCTAAGCCAAAGATCAGACCAAGTATTTTCCATGTTCCAATTTCTTTCTTTTTTTTTTTTTTAAGATGGTATTTCTTTATTTGACAGTGAGAGAGAGCACAAGTAGGCAGAGCGGCAGGCAGAGGGAGACGCAGACTCCCCGCTGAGCCATGAGCCTAATGCAGCGCTCCATCCCAGGACCCTGGGATCATGATCTGAGCCAAAGGCAGACAGATGCTCAACAGACAGCCACCCAGGCGCCCCTCCATGTTCCAGTTTCTTGATCCCATTTGTCTCTTGGGGTTCTGTTCCTCTGTTTCCCCACGAATCAGTCCACAAAGGTGAGATTAGCATGGCCTTTTCCCCCTGGCCTGTTCTCTTCTCTTTACAGAGAGCACTTCACCTCCATCCCGTGTGGCCCTGCAGGCAGCCCGCCAAGTGCAGGTGTGGCTCCCTTCACGAGTGAAGGGCCTTGAACAGTCCCAGCCATTCTTGGCGGATGGTACTGCACCTTTTCCTTCAGGCCAGCCATGCAAATAGGCCTTGAATCTGAAGACCAGACCTCCCTGGGGAACATGGGCCTGAGGATGTGCAGTGGACCCCATAGTGATTTCCGAATGTCGTTTCCCCTCCCCTCTATTTTTTCCCTTTTTTAAAATTGAGGGTTTTTTCTTCACTGTGAGTTTTGTGACTTCTTTTGTTATTGAGGTAGGTCAACAGTGGGCTTTTCTCCCCTCTAGGGAGAGCAGGCCCCTGTGGGAAAGCCATAAAGAACTGTTCCTCCTTCCCAGCCTCGCCTGTGTGTGACCGCGAGCAGCGAGTCTGCCCCAGCTGCAGGGGCCCCAGCCCCTGGCCATCCCCTGACAAGAGCCCAGATGTAGGTTTTCTGGGGGAGGCCTGCCAGGAACCGCAATGGCGGAGTTTCTGAGAGGGGCTCCCGGGAAGTCAGGGGCCACGAGTGGGCGTGTTTCTCGAAATGGTTGAGTTTGTAGATTGTTCTGAGACTTAGTGGTTCTGAGCATGAGCTTTGCAGGCCAATGACCCAAGTTCAGGTAGAGCAAGTTGGCTGACTGCTCTGTCCCTCAGGTTCCCCTTCCTAAAAAGGAAAGTCGATTAAAGGGGATACTGCTGATAAAGCAACCTGTAAAGGAGCTTCTCCCGTTAGGGGTGTAGCAGCTTAAATCTGAAAATAGAGGACAAAGTCTTCCATTGTTGCCTGAATTCCTCCCCCGAGGGATGTCTGCACGCCCATGGATAAGCTTTGGATCTGGGGTGTGCACCCTGACCCAACCAGATAGGGTGTGCCAAATCCAGTGCCACTTCCCTCTGTCCTTTCCTGAAGCTTCTGAAGGCAGCAGGAACCACGCAAGGATTACACTGAGTTTTTGTATTTGAGTCTTACTTGATGTCTGCATTAGTGCTAAGAATAGAATCAGAAATCATCTGCCAAATGAATCAACTGTGGGGTGAGGTGGCGGGTGCAGAAGGCCTTGGCAGCATCAGGGCCTGGACCCTTCCACCCAGCAGTCAGCCCAGGGGATGCTTTTGCAGCACTTCCTGAGCCACTGCAGAGCCTGCATTTGTGAGAGAAGGCGGACAGTGCACTGTGGAGATCTGCTCTTAACTCTAAAGTCCGGGAGTTCTCCGATCTTGGCCAGCAAAGAACACCCCTGAAGGGAGAAGAGAATGAAGCTTAGAAAGCTGACTTTGGAATGATCATCTAGAAAGAGAGATGAGCAACCCTATCTCCTTACCAACAGCCCTACCCTTATTTAGACCCCTGTCAGCAGAGTCAGATGGGGGCCACTGGAGCGGGGAGTCATGAGGGGCCATGGGGGCAGCAGGGGGGAAGGAGGGGGAGCTGGAGCTTCCACATGTTGTGAATTCAGACATGGAAGAGGGAGAAGCTGCAAACAATCAGAAGAGTTTAGGAGCCCTTAACCGCAGATCCCAAAACAGGCCTGGCCTGTGCCACAAATCTAAAAATTACCGCTCGAACTTGTATTCAAGCCCTGAATTCCTTATCTCCTCATAATGTGATGTGTGCTTATCTCCTCATAAGCACACATCAGTTGTTTACATCCTTGGTGGGAATAAATGCAAAGGCTTTTAGTATCTAGCCAGAATCACCTTAACTGGGGGTTCTCAGCCCTCGTGCGTATTAGAATCACCTGCAATGCTTTTTAAAGTAACGGTTCCCAAGACCTCTAGGGCAACAGAATCAAAATATTTGAGAATGGGGCCTAGGGTTTTTTGTTTTGTTTTTTTTTAATTCCCAGATGTTTGTGAAGTACAGTGAAATTTGAGAACCAATGAACTACATTGTACAATGGGGATTTTGATTTGGGTCAGGGACAGGAGGAGGGGCTGTAGGGAATTTGGGGGTAGTCCTGGGAGGGTGAGGTCCCCCACTGGAGGGCTTTGGGCAGCAGGAGAGCCTAGGGAGAGAAGCCTAGGTGGGAGGGGAAAGGGTACAGAAAGGAAAGATGCAGAGGACAAATTCCACCTGCTCTGAAATTATACATAGAGTTGGCCCGAGTCCCAGAAAAAGGAAAGGAATATCCTCCTCCTTTCTTCACCTTGGCCTGTCAGCTAGGGCTGTTGGTCTCTTGAGTCCCCTCCCAGCTAGGTTAGATGGGCTTTCGGGCACCAACCACAGAAACTAATCCCCTGGTGTGTTTGCTGACACACTTCATATTTACAATACATTCCCAGTCGTGACATGTCTGGTGGAGCTACAACAGAATCTTCTAGAAGGTGTATATTTTGAATAGTGCCCCGATCAGAGATTTTGATATGTGTTATCCCACATTGATGGAGAATCCTGATTATAATAGTTTTTAAGTAGAATTTGCTGGCAGTTGATTTACAAGTAAACTTTGAGAACATCTCCTAATGAGTGATGTTTTCTGACATCAGGTGTGTGGGAGATTTTTCCACGAGAACAACCAAGCCTCCAATACCAGCAAAGTGCGCAACAACTGAATTCAATTCTAACACTAGCCGTCCAGAGTTAGGGCAGACCCCACAGGCTAAGGACCAGTCTCACAAGTCTCACCCCACTTCAGATGCTGGTCCCACACTCCAGGGTTACCTGTATTTCTAAACAACTGGCTTCAGATCCAGGGGTTCCCACAACCCCCTTCGCAGGTCCAGTAAATCACCAGAATGACTTACAGAACTCAGAAAAACACTTGACTTGCATGCATTAGAAGGGATGCAACTCAGGAACAGCCAAATGTAAGACTTGCATAGGATGAGTATTTGGGGCGCGGGGCTAGGGGGTCCAGCAGCTTCCGTGTACTCTCCAGATGGTTTACTCTGCTAGCTCCTTGATGTGTTCCCCAACCTGGAAGCTCTCGCGATCCTCTGTTCAAGGGTGTTTATAACCCGGTCTCCAGCTTCCCTTCTCCCTGGCGGTCAGTGAGTGGGGCTCAAATCACCTTGTCTTTCCCGACCAGCCCCATCCTCAGGCCGTGTAGGGGTTCCAACCTTGTCACCTTATTAGCGTAAGTTTAGGTGTGATTAGAAGGACTCATGATGAATAAAAGATACTCCTCTCACTCTGGAAATTCAAAGGTTTTTAGGAGCTCTGCCAAGAACCAGGGACAGAGACCAGTTATGATTAAAGCCCACCTAGGCAAGGTGCTAGCCAGTTATGGAGAATGATTCGTTCATTTATCAGGGTCCTGAGCACTTTGTATAGAACAGCACCGTCATAGCGTTTCCGAGCTGGTGCTGCTCCAGATCTTAAGGACTGTGGCCTAGTCACCACATTTTAAAGATCGGTAAACTGGGACTTGGTCAAAGATCTTGGTTAAAACTGGAACATCTGCAAGAAGCACCCAGAAGAAAAACTGTTCACCTTAATCTCAGTCCATTCATTCATTCAACAAATATTTATTGAACACCTAGTATGTCTGAGGCACAGGCTAGGCAGGGTCACCATGGATGTTGGGGTTGTTTGTACCCTGCAGTGGGGCATCCCTCTTAGTAGAAAATGACATACATCCACAATGCAGCCACTCACCAAGCCCTGTGAGCGGGCATGGGGCCACTGCCACCCAGAGGAAGGAGCACTTTTTTCTGATTTGCACAAAGCGACATGTGGGCTAGCTGTGACCTAGCGCTATATACCGGTCAATGGTAACTAAGACTCACTTGTGTCCTCAAGGAGCTTACAGTCAAAGCTCCATGCAGAAGGGGCTGTCTGAAATGGACTTTGCAGGATGACTGAGATTTGGATAGATGCCTATAGGAAGGGAAAGAGCACAATTATTGAGCACCTACTGAAACCTGCTGCCCCAGTGAATGTCCAGAGCGCAGGCCTGGCCCATTCTACTCACCTACGGAGAGAGAAAGTCTGTTTGTTTCTTCTCTCCATGTATCAGAAAAACCCCACAACTTCCCACAGT